GAATTCTTCTGGACTACTCTATACATACGGATGCACCGAGCTATGTAGAGTCCATGTAGATGTCACAGTACATGGACTCACCCTTTTGGAAAGCACTGTGGATATATTTATCCAAATCCAGAGAAGTGTCTCCAGTCTCTGCTGGATGATGCCACCCCCTGGAAAGGAAACTAGAGCAGGAACTCCAGGGAAACAAACAGCTTCCTTGTTAAGATATCCCTTACCAAACCTCAAAGCTGTAAATACCCTTCATCACGTACAATATTGACCATGCTGGCGAAACTTTAAAAAGTTTTGAAGCCATTACACAATTCACTGTAGAGCAGCAGTTCTCAACCTGTGGGTTGTGACCCTTTAGGGAATTGAATGACCCTTTCACAGGGGTCACATACCAGATATCCTGCCTGTCAGATATTTACATTAGGATTCATAATAGTAGCAAAATTACAGTTATGAAGTAGCAACAAAAATATTTTTTTATGGCTGAGTGAGTACAACATGAGGAACTATGTCAAAGTGTCTTAGGAAGGTTGAGAACCATTGCTGTAGTGTTTGCAGAAACAGAGAAAAAGACAATGTTGGCATGGGGTCCCCCTGACAACATGAGGACTAAAAGGAAACCTGTAGAAATGAAAAACAGGAAAGTAAAAGTTCAAGGAACTTTAAAAAATGTTCATGCTACAGCTGACCCAAATTCCTGGGAGCTCATAGATTCTAGAGCTGTATGGGACTGAACTAGGCTCTCTGCACATGGATGACAGTTGTATAACTTGATCTGTTTGAGAGGTCCCTAGCAGTGGGACCAGGACCTGTCCTAGGTGCATGAGCTGGCTTTTTGAAGCCCATTCCCTATGATGGAATGCTTTTCTCAGCCTCCATACAGGGGGGAGGGGTTTGGTCCTGCCCCAACTTAATGTGCCAGGCTTTGTTGAGTCTCTATGAGAGGCCTAACCCTTTCTGATGAGTGAATGTGGGGTGGATTGGGGATAGGTGGGGGAGGGGGAGTGGAAGGAGGGGAGAGAAGGGGAACTGTGTTGGTATGTAAAATGGAAAAAAAATTTTAATGTTCATGCTAGAGCCAGGTGGTGGTGGTATACGCCTTTGGTCCCAGCACTAGGGAGGCAGAGGCAGGCAGATCTCTCTGTGGGTTGGAGACCAGCCTAGTCTACAAGAGCTAGTTCCAGGACAGGGTCCAAAACTACATAGGGAAACCCTTTCTCAAGAGAGAGAGAAAAAAAAAGGTTAATTCTAGTGCCATGCTACTTTTACAGGGTAAGATGGCTTGCCTACCAAGTGTCTTCTAGCAGAGCACAGGAAAGCACATGGGAAACCTCATCTTTACTCAAAAAAGGAAAGTGTCCTCAGTACATCAGTGTTTAACATGCTGAAGTTAATACTGAAGTAAAAGTGTCTAAAACAAATGAAGAAATCATTGGAGAGACCAATCGCTTAGTGGGAAACTCTGAGCCTCTTCCAGCCTCACAACAGGTGGGATATTTCATATCATATAAATGGTTTTAAGTCTTTGTATGTATGGGGATCGATATATTCACACAGTATGCAAATAAGCACATCTGTGCATACACAGGAGCCAGAGTAGGGTGAAAAGAGCCCAGCTTTATCACTCTCCCTCGAAACAGGATCTCTCACTGAACCTGGAGTCAGGCTGGTGACCAGCAAACTTCAGTGATACTAGACTTTTATCTCCACAAACACACCTGTGTTACATACTGGGCTTACAGGAATGCATGCAGTCATGCCTGGCTTTTAATGCAGATGCTTAATATCTTAACTCAGGTGAGCCATCTCTCCAGCCCAATCATAAACTCTTTAAAGAGTTGTGATGAGGCAAACAGGTAACCTGTGCTGCTGATTGGAAGCAGAGGAATCCTGACAAATGTGTTCTAGCAAAGACAAGGAAGGGAAGCAGAAATGTCGAAAACTTGTACCCAGTTTCAGACGCTTACTAGGGCATTTACAGTTGGATTACAGCAACAAATTCTGGTGCTTCCCATGTAGTCCTTAAATGAGGAGCTGACTTCGGACTTCTTCTGCTATTAATGCCCTTGCTGGTGGTCTTTCTTTCCCCTATACATGTTTAGATTTTATTTAAAACAGAATCTCATTAAGTTGTTCAGGCTGGCCTCAACTGCCTTATCCTCCTGCCTTAGCCTCTTGAGTAGCTGGAATTATAGGCACACACACCACCAGGCCCAGCCTGCCCGTGAATTTCACAGACAGAGAAACACCCTAAATTGAGGACTGTGGATTCATAAGGGGCTCAATACCGTCCTTTTCAGTTAACCAGGATTCTGGACGTTGAAGTTGAGAGGGTAAACATGATGATGTCTCAGGGCATTAACATCTGGCTGAGGCAAGACATGTTTAGCCTGGCCTTCTGAGAGATCTACCCCTAAATCTACAGAAAAGCTCAATATCTAAATGATACCTCTGGGCTTTATTCTTGCTATCTACACAGGATTTGCCAGAACTGATAGGTACCTCAGGAGTAGACAACAAGGGCCTAAGTGGGTTGAAGGCCTCTCTTAGGAATGTTCTAGAGCATGTTAGCCGAAGGTCCCTCGAAAGATTGTAGTACGTTTAGGTTCATTGGTTCTAGAAAGCTTGGGGGAGCAGATGGAAGCAGAATGTCATAACAGCACAGGCATACTAACAAGGCAGTGAGCTGCGGGTAACTATAAGGCTAATAAGTTCCCTGTTATGCAGACAAAAGATGTGGGACAGCAGACAAGAGAAGGTCAGAAAGTTATTTGTGTTCTCATGAGAGCTGCAGGGTTCACTGCTGGAACTGTGCACAGTGCTCAGTAGCTCTCACTTTTGGGGGGGCGTGGTTTCCAGGCAGGGATTCTCTGTTCTCACTTTTAAAGGCCCCTGTGCTGTTCAGACAAGATGAATATGTCATCTTAGTTGGGGCTACCCTAGAAAAAAAAGAGTCTGAGGAAATGACATATAGTTTTAGACTGAGAGTGTAAGACAGAGGAGTCACCCCAAACCTGATGTAGACAAGGGCTACATCAAGCCAGTTAGCACTGCAGGCAAGAAGGTTAATTCCCTAGGGAAAGCTCTCAGAGGCAAACACAAAGAATCACCCATCGGAGGCATGAGGGAGCAAGGATCACTGGTTGAGGGCCATGTGAATGGGGGCGTTTATTCCAGGTGTTTCCATCACTAGTAGGCAAGCAAAATAGTTTCAATGCCAGCTCTCATGGGAGAGCAGCTGGGTGAGGGAATGTAAGCAGATCACTAACATCGCCACATTTAAAGATCATTTGCTTCATTGACACAAACTCCTAAGGAGCCCTACCAAGATTCCCTCCAGCTCTATTTACACTTTCCCTCACTAATAAGGAATCATTTAAGGCAACCCTCATATCCCTTCTCGAGGAGCAAAGGTTCTCCCTGCAATGAGCCAGCAATAACATTCCTGAAACTTCTCTGTGTGTGTGTGTGTGTCTTCTATACACACACACACACACACACACACACACACACACACACATCATTCCCACTGAACTACAAGCAGCAAGCAGCCACCCTACTCCTTCCATGCACAATGATGGTTCTTTACTCAAGCAAAACTGCAAAGCCATCCAGGGAACTTTAGGAAAAAATTCCATGAAGGACCTTTCAAACCCCAGAGAGATTTGAGTTAATACATTCTAGAGTTCAAATAATCAGGTGAGTCCTCTTTATCCTTCTACCAAAAGAAATGTCCATTGTGTCATCGCTCTTGGGTGGACCAAGGCCACATGCATTTATCATAAAGTTCAAGGCTGAAGTTCAATATAAAGATAAAAGCCAAACCAAGGCTCCCCAGGAGACAAGGGGCTCTGTTTTCACAAGTCTGAAGGAGAGAATAGTACCTCTCAGCAAATAGTGCTTCTAATTTGATCCCACAAAGATTTCTGCAAAAAGGAAACCAGCAAGGTGTCAGGAAGATGTGGAGTATGTGGGTATCTATACAGAATTTTTATCATGGCCACATTCTTCAGGATCTCAGCCATCAATTATTTGTGACAGGCAGTCAATTGTGTATCTTTCAAGAACTTCCCATTATGTATCTTCCCTGGATTATGGTAGGCAAGATTGTTTATTTTTCTCCTCCCCTTTAAGGTTACCCATCACTTACTGCCCAACATCCCCATGGAATGTCCTGAAATGATAGGTTTTCTAAGGCTGTGAGAGAAATCACTTTGTGATTCCCTACTTGCTATTCACAAAAAGGCACCAGGGCCAGCTCGACTAGAAGAAAGTAACCTGCGTGTATTGAAGCAGATGTTCATCTGCAGTCCTCAGAGAACGAAAACATCTGGAAGCAACAACACCCTGCTTTTGTTCAGAAGAGAGGCAAGTCTCTGCCGTGAAAATAATTTTTCCTTAAAGCTAGCCTGAAATAATTGCGTATTTGTTGAGGATTGACGGAAGAGACTTTCATGAATTTTGTTATCTTTTGACAGTGGCAAATAAGTAGGCAGAGAAATGTATTCTCTCTCTCTTGTGGCTTTTAACAGAAAAAAAAATCACAGAAAATTGTGCCAAAGAGCATGGCAATATTTCCATACTTTTCTGCACTTACAGGGATAAAATGGGCATTAAGGGTAAAAAGGCTGTTATAAAAACAGTGGTTCTATTTCCGGGTCTCTCCCTTGCCAAAGCCTCAATGCCCAGTCCCCAAAAGTGGAAGAATGCCAAACCTGAGTTTCTATCATATGCCTTGCAAACAATTGGGTTTATTCTTAACAGGGTCTCACTGCATTTTGGCATTACACAGCATGTAATTAGCCATTAGACGACTTAGGAAGGACTGACCCCAATTTGTTGGGCCAGTGCCCACTGAATGATTTCATGCTGCTCTTCTAGAGCCATACTATGATGACTTGGTTGCATTGTGGAGTCCAGAGGGGGAGAGAGGCTAACGAGCTCCCAGCTTGGGGACCTAGGATGACAAATGTGGTATTAATTAGAAACCTTTAACTAACCTACAGCCTCCGAGGAAGTTCAAGGCCTTATTGCCAATGCAAATCCAATCCCTGTCCATCTCACTTCAGCTTCTCTCAAGTCTTCTGTGCCTTCAAATAAGAGGCAGCAATGTCTCTCCCTTTCTGTAATATAAGGAGACAGGTCTGAGAGTTAATTAGTCAGTCAATAAACATATTAATTTCCTACCATATGGCCAGGGAGCTGATGCTGGGTGACAAGGTTGATGATTGGGGTAACAATCTGTGTTTGAAGCATTTGTTGCATATACCCATACCTCCATCTCCCTGGGATGGTTTCTCTTCATTGTTAGCTTGTTGGGATTTAGAATCACCGTGGCAACACAATCTCTGGATTTGCCTATGAGTATGCTTCCTGAAAGGTTTGACCTGAATGTAAGTGGCACCATTCCCTGGGCTGGGGTCTCAGAGTGGAAGGAACTAGCTGAACACCAGCATTCATACCTCTGCTTCCTGACTGCAGATTCAATGTGAGCAGCTCCCAAACATATCTGCCTTCTCCTCTGTGTCGGACCCTCAGACTGGACTGAAATAAACCCTTCCTTCCTTAAGTTGCTTTTTGTCAGGTATTTTGCCAAGTAATGAGAAAAGTAATAACTAATATACTTCTCCTCCATGAAGGTAGTCAGTACTGGATGGCTAACATGTCAAAGGAAGCCAGCAGGTCCAGACTACCTGAAGAAAAGCTGTAACTGCATATATTCTCTTATTAGTTGATGAATAAAATGCTGATTGGCCAGTAGCCAGGCAGGAAGTATAGGAGGGACTACCAGATGAGGAGAATTCTGGGTAGAGGGAAGAGAGAAGCCACCAGAGAGAAGCCATATAGTGGTTGGGAGGATAGGATGCTGGACGTTCTCCGCTAATACCATGTAGAAATACATAGATTAGTAGTTATGGGTTAATAATTAAGAGAGAGCTAGCCAATAAGAAGCCTGACCCATCGACCAAACAGTTTCTAATTAATACATGTCTCTGTGTGTTTATTTGGGGCAAAGTGGCTGTGGGACCAGGTGGGACAGAAACTGTGTCTACACTGGGAGGAAAAGGAAAGTTCTATGGGTTCTAGATGGAAGCCCACAGCAGCCTGACAAGTGAAGGAGCCCTAGAGAAGCCACCGTGAAGACCTTCTACAGGCCCAGGGCTGGCTGGGGCCCTGGGATGCCCAGAGACAAGCACAGGGCATCTACAAAAGCTACAGAACCCTCATCAGCCCAATGCTCCTGTGATATGCACTTGGCCTAAGCTACAGGAAGGAATATTAGTCAAACAGCAGTTCTCAAAAGCCCACGGAATTAGACAACAGAGCCAGCACATCTCTAGAGAGGGACTGGGCACTTGTGCTCCTCCAGGCTCATAAGCAGCAGTCATGCCCTTAGTTGTTGGTCCTGAATGATGGCCCAGGGATGTTCACCTTCCAACAGCATTGCTGCTACCTCCTACACCAAGGGTCAAAGCTGAAGCAATCATGTCATGCCTCTGGGGTCTCTCTTGGCCCATAGCCACCATGGCTTAGAAAAACAGACCATAAGCCTGGCAGAACCAAGATGGAACCGGATCTTTTCTGGATCCCAGCACCCCTCACCCGTCTTTCCATGTGTATAGGTAACTTCTCAGTGTTTTCACTCTCATGTGTTGTTTATTGGTTTGGTTTTTGAGGCAGACTTTCATTATGTAGGCCCAGCTAGCCCAGAACTCATTCTGTGAACCAAGCTGGCCTTCAACTTGCATGACGCCTTGGCTTCCCAAGTGTCCCTGCCAATTTGGTCCCCCTCGAAGAGCTGCAACAGCTAGAGTTTGAGTCATGACAATCTAAATGTCTCCTTCCCAGGCCCCGATCACTTAGTGATGGGGGAAGTCCTTCTGTGTGTATGTTTCTTATTGGATGGTAAATAAAAGAGAAGCAAGATAGGTGGGACTAGGAGTCGAGGAGGATTCTGGGAACACAGAGGCACAGTCAGTCACCATGTAGGGCGCAAGAGAAGTAAGAGGTCTGGACCCTTTCTCCAGTAAGAGAAGACCACGTGGAAATGCTCAGATTAGCAGTTATGGGTTAATAATTAAGTCATAGCTAGCCAACAAGAAACCATAGAAAACAGCCAACAGCTTCATAATTAATATAGTGTCTCGTGTGTTCATTTGGGACTAACGCAGCTCTAGGACCAGATTGGCAGGGAGAAATCATGTTACAACTCAGTACTACCCTAGTTCCAGAATTCCTTGCAAAATAAAACTGAGCCATATAACTTGTCTTAGTTAGGATTACTATTACTGTGATAAAACACTATGATCAAAAGCAAGTTGAGAGGAAAAGGTTTATTTGGTTTACATTTCCACATCACTGTTCATCATCCAAGAATGTCAAGACAGGAACTCAGAGCCTGGACCTGGAAGCAAGAGCTGATAAAGAGGCCATAGAGGGGTGCTGCTTACTGGCTTCCTCCCCGTGTCTTGCACAGCCTGCTTTCTTATAGAACTCAAGACCACCAACCCAGGGATGGCACCACCCACAACGGGCTGGGTCCTCCCCCATCAATCACTAATTAAGAAAGTGCCCTTCAGCTGGATCTTATGGAGGCATCTTCTCAATTGGAGGCTCCCTACTTTTCAGATAACTCTAGCTTGTGTCAAGTTGGCATAAAACTATCCTGCACAGCTTTTATCCTGTAATATAAAGAGAAAGATGCTAGTCACCATGAAAGAATAAAAGTTAATATCTCAGTAAGCCGTTAAACTATAAGATGACTAAAGAAAAGCACAGTGCCAAACATCAGCAGGAAGAGAGAATTGGCCTGGGAATGCAGGACTGATCTGAGTGGCCCTGGGTAGATAAATGACCTAACAGCTTAAGAATGGACTCCATCATCATTCCTAACTCCTACAATCAGGGTTTTCAATTGTAGTTCTCTCTTCACAAAAAGACAGGAGGGAACAAATAGCTCTTAACCTTTCAAAAGCAATTTGTCAAAACATTTCAAAGACCTTCTAACCTTCATGGAACACATCTATAGGGATGGGTTTAAAAAACACAACAAAAAGGAAAATAACAGATTGTAGTACCCACTCTATCAGAGGCTATTAAAAATGACTTACAGGTTTGTTTCCTTGTTTAATTTTCAAAAGCTAAGAGACAAATACTACTCCCATTCTATAGGTGGCAAGTAAGGCACTAAGACTTCAAACATTTTTATACAGTACTAGAGGTGGGATAAAAACCCAGAGTCCATGTCCTTAGCCAATCCCTAATGTTGCTTCCCACAGAACTCCACAAAATACTACTCATAGAAAACACACTCTCCGCCCATCAATGAGAATAAATGGTATATAAATGTGAGGATAAACTATGCCAGCTGGGAAATGCCTATGAAGAATGATACAGATAAAGATTTTGTGGTAATAACACACTGTAGAAAGTGGCAAGGAGGAAAGGGTATCTACAATGAGTCCAGATGACCTATAAAACCCATCAAGTTTACACTAATATTTTTTAAATTACAAAAATTATTTTTATAAATGTCAAATTACAAAAATACCAGGAGTTGGAGAGAAGGTTTAAATGTAAGCAGAAGGAGCCAGGCCATTCAGGGGAGAGGGGCTCAAGGTGACCAAAAAAGAAGTCAGGCCATTCAGGGGAGAGGGGCTCAAGGTGACCAAAAAAGAAGTCAGCACTGCTGTTCAAGCGGTCAACAGAGGCCAACGGCCCAGAAGACACCAGGAGGCAGCTCTGACTGCAGACAAGACAGGGTTAGGAAGGATCCCAGAACCACGCAGGTAGGACAATCACCAGGGCTTTCTGGAAAGTGCCACACAGAACTGGGTGAACACAGACACAGCAGGAGGGGAGAAGCAGGCTCTTTGAACAGAACCTGGCTTCTTGAAAGTCACGGGTGCATGTGTATGTATGTGTGTGGGTACAACATGAGAGGTAAACCCTCAGCATCCGTGACTAGGAGCTGACACTGCTGGAGCAACACAGATGGGGTGTCATGTAGCAAAGGTTGATGACTTAAAGGGAACAAGCAAACCCCAAGAACTGGAGAAGATACAAGGGTTGTTACATTCGACCTTATTCAGTCATTACTTGGCCATTTCAGGGACAAAATTCTAGGTCACCACTAGGACTACCTGTCCTCCCTCAACTTTTGTGGAGCAGTTTAGGGTTAATTAACCCTTAAGTCATTATATTTCAGGCTTTTTCTTTTAGGGCCACTAACCAGCTCCCAAATCATGACACAGAGACTTATTATTAGTTTTTGAATGCTCGGCCTAGCTTTGGCATGTTTCTGCCTGGCTCTTTTAACTTAAATTAACCTGTTTCTCTTCATCTACCTCTTGCCTTGGGGTTTGTTACTTACCTTTCTTAGTTCTGTATATCTTACTTCACTGCTTTCTCTATGTCCGGCTGGCCTCTGCCTGGCTTCTTTCCCAGGCATGTCCATGGTTCTCTCATTTTTCCCTTTTTTCTCTTCAGACTAGATTTCTCCTCCTACTAATTCTCTCTGCCAGCCAGCCCTGCCTAGCCTTTCTCTGCCTAGCTATTGACCGTTCAGCTCTTTATTAGACCAATCAGGTACCTTAGGCAGGCAAGGTGAAACAGATGCAACACATGTTTACATAATTAAACAGATGCAGCGCAAACAAATGTAACACATCCTTCCATTGTTAAACAAATGCAGCATAAACACAAGTAACACACCTTTACACAGTTAAAACAATATTTCCATAGCATAAACAAATGTAACACATACTTGCCCAGTAAAATAATAACCCACAACAGTCATATGTAATCAAACTCTCTCCAGGGTTCACAAAGGACATGAATTAATGCCCTCTAGTGTTCCATCCTTTCTCCCTGACATAGCAACAGCGGTATTGGCATTTGAAATGGCACTTAATGATGTAAGGTCAGCAACATGTATTGCTTGTATTAGGGGCATTATGGTTCACACTTAGCCCTGCCCCTGTGCCGTGGCCTTCCTTCCTTGGGTAGCTACTCCAGAACATAAGGGTCCACTTCCTTTCCTTCCTATTCCCATCCCTGAGATGGAGGCTGCTTCCCACTGTGCTCTCTGACCTGAAAAGGGTTTGGAAAGAATACAGAGATCCTTACTCCCCAGAGCCATCTATAAGGTCCAGCACCATGGACCTGTGTGCTCTGTCCTCAGCCCTCATTCTCAAGATATTGGAGCTAGTAGGAACTTGG